ACAGTGAAGACCCTCTCTCTTATCCCCCATCTCCCCCTACCTGAGAAGGCATTAAAAGCAAGGATTATTGGCAATGGTATTGGGCATATAGCAAGCCACAAAGGTGTGTGTATCTCTACTTTAGGTGCTCATCCAACCCTGGTTACCATGGGAGCACCTCAGGACCTTTTAATGGTTTTAACCTCTTAGCATCTCACTGTGGTAGAGGTGGATGAACCCTGTTCTACATCTCAGTAACTGATGAGGAAGGCTCAGATCAATAAAAGTATTAATCAATGAGCCAGGTACCTAAATACCTTCATGAATCTGGCCCTAAGAGACTGACCTGAAGCCACTATGGAAGTTAGTGACAGAGTAGGGATTTGAACCTGGGATTCCCAGGTTCATTCCTTGACTTAGTGGACTGCTCAGCCTTTTTTGATTCAGGACACCCTTCCATCACGTTGAGATGTGCTGCCCTAACTCCTCCACAAACTTCCTCTCCGCTGTGGTATAACACAAGAGTGTAGGTGAGAGATTTAAGGCCCCCTTCATAACCCAACGCTGCAGATTTGTAACACCTAGCACAAGTGTTCAGGCTCCTCATCCCCTGGGAAATTCACTTGAATGGAGTGGGCGCATCTTTTGTGGAGTCTCTTGCTTCTCCCTGGGAATGGCTTGATTGCAATAATACACGTTGGATCTGTGTTGGCGTTTATGGCAGCGGTTTTGCCTCACTTGTTTCTTTTTTCTCTCCACCAAAGGCTGATGAGTTCTACCTTGAAGCTGTGAATCTGAAGCAGGTGAGGAGGGTCAGGATAGGGCATGATGGCAAAGGAGGAAGCAGTGGCTGGTACCTTGCCAAAGTGATAGTGAGGGAAGAAGGACAGCCAGAAAGTGATGCTGTGGAATTTCCCTGTAACAGGTACTGACAACGATGCTCTCGAATCAAGCATTGGCTTAGATAGTCCTTGTCAGCCTCGGAGGAACCGAATTATCGTTCCAGGGCTCGAGTTGTCTGAGAGCATCTGAACTCTTTTATCTTAGCCTGAGTGCAAAATGCTAAGGATTTCCCTGAGACAAAATACAACCTGCTAGTGTTCCTGCAGTCGCTTGCTGCAGCAGCACGCTCATCGTTACTGCCGCCTCCTGGTTTTGTGGCATATGGGGGGGCACTGTTCCACTCTCATATGCACATCCCATCTTCCCAGGAGCTATGGGATGCAATTCTGTGTTTGACAGTACACAGAGCTGATACACTGCCATCATGCACCCTTCATGAGAATGAAGGGGGAAGCACATCGCCTCTAAATGGTGTCGGGTCCATAGGAGAAAAGAGTGTAACTCTGCCCTGTGGGCAAGTTACAGATGTATTCTTCTCTTTACCCAATCAAGTGGCCAAAAAGAGCATGGAGGAAGCTAGAGTTGTGCACTTTTACACACTACACACCTCTTTAACCAGTATCTGTCTCAACATTGTGGAGAGAACAAATTAGCCATGCCTAGGCAAAACCACAGGAGACACAGCTTTCACAAAGAATCCTGGTTCCTTAAAATCCCATTTTTCTTTAATGTCTTTCTTGGTGAATTCCAGTAAATAACACTAAGGTCCTGGGGGTTTTTTTAAAGATGTCTTTTCCTATAGAACACGTGGAGTGTTAAATGGAAATGTGATTAATTGTTGAATTACCAACATACGTTGAACCCTTGGGTTTTATTTTGGTGTTGCATCTCATAGAAATCTGGAACAACTCCACAGAGGCCAGTGGAGTTAGCTTAGTGTAAGACGCTGTGGGCACATCTCCGTGTGCATTAATGCGCTGTGGGTACTGCGCATTCATTTTAGTATCTGTAATAACAGGTAGTAACTGAGTGTGCGGTAACCAGCACTACTGTGCAGTAGCACCGGCGCATGCTTTTTTAGTAATGCGAATGCTCTGTAGACTGATTCTGCAGCACGTTAGTGCAATAGCCTGGCTTTTGCCGTGATGCGCTAGTGTGCAGTCGAATTGATCTACTGCACATTTAGCATCTCATGTAGACGCGTCCTGTTCATTCAGAGTCAGGCCCGCTGAATTCCAGGGTCACATCGCCGAGCAGGAGCGCAGCCAGCGCGCTAAGGTCTCAGAGCTGAACACGAGATGCAGTGTTACGTTCACAGTGAAAACCAAGCCAGGTGCCACATTATCAGTACCTCCTCTTCACAAAATAAACCCACTCTTGTATTACATTGTCACCCTTTGACACTCATTTAGCAACTGTACATTTTGCCTAGTCGAAACACGGTGCAGTAACCAGACAGGCAATATTCTGGACATCAGGTTTCCATGTAATAATGGTTCTTCTGAGCCTCTTCAGAGACTCTCACATTTCTAAACTCATTAGGCACCTCGCTGTCATTAAAGTCTGCTTCTGAATCACCTTCTGACTAGACGCATTTAACAATGGCCTTAGCTCACCTTGTGGGAAAGGTCCCATTCTGGGATGATTGTACTTGTCACGCTGTTCAGATGTGAAATAAAAGGAAATTTCATTGACCATTAAAAACAGCAGCCACAAACAAGAAGCTGGAAATCGGGTGGGGGGGAAAATCCACCTGCCCCACTCAGACATCCCGTGCACATGTTCAGTCTGCATGCTATGAGTCCCCGGACTCTGCTCTGTTTGCATTTCCCGCAGTCTCTTGCCCATGTGAGACCGTTGTCACCAAAGAAGTGCCTTATTTTGCTGTCCTTGAGCCACCATTATCCAGTCCTTTCAGATGGAAAAAGTTCCCATGACAGATAGTGAAACTCTGCTCCCTGCCACCGTCTCTGGTACCTGCGCTGTCTGCAGGATCACGAGGACGTGGACCCCAATGTGGAGCGCAATCAGCACTTGTTGTCATGGAAGTTGAAGATATCAGAAGGCAAAGGTTCTTACCCACTGCATCCTCCGTGTGAACGAGTCAGCTCCTCCCAGACCCGCAGCGTTTGGATGTTTCCTCTCCAGTCCTGCTGGCCAGGGATGCTTTGTATTTCTTGGCTAGTTTGGCCATCACTCAGAGGGGGTCCACTCCTCCTACAGCAATGGAAACAAGATTAGGAGGAGCAGTCCCTCCCTTGGTGAGAGATTAGGAGACTCCAAATGAGACAGGCCAGAGGAAGCCTCCATTTCTGCCTTGGCCAGTCTGTTGCCAGCTGGTGGATATGCTGATGTACAATCTCCCTTCACTTCAGTAGCCAGCCAGCTTCTGCTGCTCTATCCAACATGCTGACGGAGTCCAAGAAAATAATTTTCTTGCTGCCGTGCCTTATTATCTGGCCAGTGACATGCTGTCACTCAGCTGCGACTACTCCACCGCAGCCAGAGGACAAGCTACCTTTTTCCAACAGAAACAGATCTTCCCAGGGACAGATGATTTTAGACAAATCTGCTTACATAGAACAGGATACACTGACATATAGGGAAATAATGACACTCCGGGGTGCAAGGATCGCAGCTCAAACAATCTCTGACAGCACCCGGCTGCCAACATGGATTTTGCTTGCATGTATCTCAGTGATTTCTGTTCTTTTTATTTATACATATGTAAACATGTAGCTAAGATTTTTTTTATTTAACAGGGTTGGGTTTTTTTTAAATAAGCATTTATACAGCACCAGAGGGACATCTACTAATTAATAGTCACAACAGCCTTATGAGGAGAATTATCCCTGTTTTACAAGGGAGCAAAATGAGGAACAGAGATGTTAAGTGGATTAACAGCGAGTTTGTGGCAGAGCCAGGAAGAGAAGCCAGGAGTAATGACTCCCAGTCCTGTGCTTGAAACTATTAAAATAGTCACTGTGAAGAGGATGTAATAGCTTATAGCTGCTCGCAGTCAATGTTTTTAAAATGGTCACTTGAACCACACTTCCAGGGAGGAAGTGTAATTAATGTACCTGAGCGTTCATTATGGAGTAGTGGTTTGTTTTGTGGATATGCTCAAAGCATAATGGTTCCTGCGGACTATCTGACATTAGAAGCATTTGTTTTTTTCAAAATGAACCACTGTCATGCAGTCCTGTGATTGCTACCATCTATGCCTAATAAAATCCTAATGCAGTGTAAGTGAGGCCAGTATGCAGCTGACTGGTGATAAAAGTTAAAGCGTAAAGGGTTGGATAGGATGAGAGCCGCCTTTCTGAAAAAAATGGATGAACAGATTTTTTGAAGCTTCAAAATGTAGTTCTTTAGAGGTCATACAGCATTGCTGTATATCTGATACAGTGTGTGCAACTCAGCTTTCTTAGTGCATTAGAAATCATAGACTCATAGAAAATGAGGGGTGGAAGGGAGCTCAGGAGGTCACATCTAGTCCAACCCCCTGCTCCAAACAGGACCAGCCCCAACTAGATCGTCCCAGCCAAAGCATTGTCTAGCGGGGTTTTGAAAACCTCCCAGGATGGAGAGAGTTACCACAACATTTCTGGGTAACTTGTTCCAGTGCCTTACTACCAAGAGGCATGTGGCTAGCATTGAGAGGGTCCAGAGGAGGACCACTCGCATGGTCAGGGGGCAGCGGGGCAGGCCCTATGAGGATAGACTAAAGGGCCTGAATCTATTTAGCCTCTACAAGAGAGGACTGAGGGGATCTGGTGGCCACCCATAAACTCACTAAAGGGGACCAGCAGAAAATAGGTGAGGCTCTGCTCCCCCAGGCACCACCTAGGGTAACAAGGAATAACAGCCACAAATTAATTGAGAGTAGGTTCAGGCTTGATATCAGGAGACATTACTTTACAGTTAGGGCTGCCAGGCTCTGGAATGGGCTCCCAAGGGAGGCGGTGCTCTCCCCTAGCTTGGGGATCTTCAAGAGGAGGTTGGATAGATGTCTGGCTGGGGTATTATGATCCCAGCACTAGTTCCTGCCCAGGGCAGGGGGTCGGACTTGATCTGTTCAGGTCCCTTCCGACCCTACCAACTATGAAACTACCCTCCTAGTGAGAAAATTCTTCCTAACATCCAATCTCAACTTCCCTTGCTGCAACTTGAGCCCATCGCTCCTTGTTCTGTCATCTGTCACTGCTGAGAACAGCCCAGCTCCATCCTCTTTGTACCATCCTTCAGGTAGTTGAAGGCTGCTATTAAATCCCCTCTCAGTCTTCTCTTCTGTAAACTAAATAAGCCCAGTTCCCTCAGCCTCTTCTCATAAGTCATGTCCCCCAACCCAAACCATTTTTGTTGCCCTCCACTGAACTCTCTCCAATTTGTCCACATCCTTTCTGTAGTGGGGCACAAAACTGGACACAGTACTCCAGATGCGGCCTCACCAGTGCTGAGTAGAGGGGAATAATCACTTCCCTTGGCCTACTGGCAACACCCTTACCAATACAGCCCAATATGCCATTAGCCTTCTTGGCAACAAGTGCACGCTGCTGGTTCATATCCAGCTTTTTGTCCATTGTCACCCCCAGGTCCTTTTCTGCAGAGCTGCTGCCCAGCTAGTCAGCCCCCAGTCTGTACTGGTGCATGGGGTTGTTCCCTCCTCAGGGCAGGACTTTGCATTTGTCCTCATGAGATGTCTTTTGGCCCAATCCTCCCATTTCTCTAAGAGACCCTGATCCTAGCCCTATTCCCCAGCGTATCTACTACTCCCCCCAGCTTGGTGTCATCAGCAAACTTGCTGAGGGTGCACTTTGTGCCATCTTCCAAGTCGTTGATGAAGATATTAAACAAAACCAGCCCCAGGACCGACCCCTGGGACACTCCACTTGATACTGGCTGCTAACTAGACATCAAGCCATTGATTACTACCCTCTGAGCCCGATGCTTCAGCCAGTTTTCTGTCCACCTGACAATCCATTCATCCAGCCCGCACTTCCTTAGCTTGCCTATGCGAATGCTGCGAGAGACTGTATCAAAAGCCCTGCGAAAATCAAGGTACACCACATCCACTGGTCTCCCTGCATCCACAGAGCCACATGTTTAGACAAATACATTTATTTGTCAACAAATAGGAGATTATATTTTTACAAAACAGAAAATGCTTATATAGGCTCCTTATGCAACAAATACTTGGCCCTTCATTTGAATGCACGCAGCGATTTGCATCCGTTGCTGCAATATAATGTGTCAGTTTTGTGGTTCTCATTACATCACTGTTGCCACTATCTACCTTTGTGGCCATTCCTACTATTATAATGTGTATCTCACCTCCAGACAAAATCATTTTTTATAAAACATATCATGACACATTGTGAGAAGAATCACGTGAAGAAGAATTTACACTTGTTGTAACCTCTCATCCAGTAGCAACAGAGGGCTGGGTTTATATATATTGATAACTTAGTTGACATCATTTGAAACCTCATTCATTAAATACAGAATGATGTATTCCTTCAGAATTTGTACAAAGCCTGCTGCTTGGCAGGTGAGGTGTACATTGATTTTGATACACAAGGAGCTCATAGGCAAATAGAATAGGTACTGTATGACATCCCCTTGGGATTTCAACAGCATTAAGGTGTTGGAGCAGATGCGCTGAAGAAAGAGGAACCAGAATGTGTTGCTAATGCAAATCACACTATTACTTAAAGTCTTTGTCTCGATCTGCCTGTGGGGATAATGCCCTTGGCTTAAGCAAAGTGAGGGGAGAGTAAGAGCCATAAGCTGTTTCTATTGATTATCTGCCCCTATCTTCTTCTTTTTTTCCAGTCTGGCAAGCTTTCCTTACCTCGTTCTTGCCTTCAGATGAGGATGTAGGGAAGCTGTTTATTCAGACACAAGCCTTTTTTCATGCTGCTCCCTCTTCACAAAGGAAAGAGTATTTGCCCTTGTGTGCCTAAAGATCTGTTTCTTGAGGAACCCAGGTTGTTTCTTCCTTCTTGGCCCAGAAGGAGCTCATGGCTTCACTCCTTAGGGAGTGAGCATGCCAGCAGCAGTGAAGTCCACAAAAGCACCAGCATAAGCACCAGCGGCAAGAGCTTCCAAGACGGTGGAAGGTAGATTAATACCAGCAGAGCTGGCACTGAAGTCACCTTGCTCTTCCTGTAGGGCATGCTGACTTCAGAGGGTTGGGAGCGGGCAGAAGTGAAGGTATATTTCCAGGGACCGCCCCAGTGAAGTGCCACGTATACACAGAAGTGCCTTGACTCTTGTGATGACCCAATCCCCCAGTCATCGGATACATGTCCAAGGATGGAAACCCTGAGCCAACACCAAGGACTGCCTGACACACAGGTGCTAAGGACCCATTCCAACAGGTAAAATTAACCACCCAAACCAGGGGCTAATACATTAGACTTGCTTTCTTCAAACATGCAGTGCCCTGGTGTGCGCTACGTCTGCACGTCTTATGTCCTGCACTGGGCTCTGCTCTTTGCAGCAGTCTCACGCTCGGCAGCACAGATGCTTCTGCTGTATCCCTACGATACCTCCCACCCCCCACTGAGGAGCAACATCACACCTCAGGACCTCACAGGGTGTTAAACTTATGTTTCCTCATGCCGATATAATTCACTTTTAACCCTCCCCAAGGAGTCTTCACATGGCCACATGTTTTATAGAGTGAAAGCGAAGAATACTGGGTAGATTACTTACCCGACAACCGGCGAAAGTTTAATGGGGAGGTGGGAAAGGGGACGAGCGGATGGCATTGCATATGTTTCTCTTCTGCATGCTGCCTTGGCTGCTGTGTGCTCAGTATGGTTGCAAAAGCCTGGTGTTTCTTCATCTTTCCTGTAAGATTATGGACTACAGCAGCTTTCTAGTGCTTTTTTTTCAGCTCCCAGTTCTACAGTTGGCATGCCTTGACGCTGCTTTTTCTTCTGCATGATTCCTGTGCATAGCCCATTTCCCTGTGTGTGTTGGAAATCAGAAAGGAGCCCTTTACCTCATGGGTTTGAAATAATCTTCATGCAAGGTCACAACCTGCCTATTTGTTCTCTGTCCCTCCATCTGTCCATCCCCCCCCACACCCGCCAACTTGCTTCCAACAAAGAGACAGCAGAGCCGAATAATCATCTGGGTAATTGCAAACAACTTCCTGATGGCTTGTTTGTGAAGTGGCCTCATGTAAAAAGGTTGAAATGGCCTGATTGTGCCTGTCTGGAAGAAATGCATCCAGGCTAATACTATGAGTAATGTCTGACACTGAAATCATTTGGATTGAAGTCTGCTAATGCTAAAAATTAAAAGATCACAATCAGTACATCAAACCATCAATCCTGGGGTTCGAGGAACAGCTCTTCCTTTTAAACAATGTTGGCCTGTTTCTCTTTCCTAGCCCATCCCCCTGAGAGGTAAAGCCACCGTTTTGTTTGAACCAGAACTTGTATCAGTGAAAATCCTGGAAGGCTCTCCTTAATTTCCCTAATTCACCTGTAGCACTAATGGTTAGAAACAAGGAAGTTCCTGCTTATGCCAGACATCCAGGATTTAAGCATGTGACCTCCATGGCAATCTAGCCCTGGAATGGAGAGGCCAGGTCCAATAATATAATTCAGCAGCTGGCTGATGGAGATGAGGGGCTCTCTGGTTATTCAAAGGAAAGGAGAATGGCATAAAAACCTAGAGACACAAGCAGTCGATAGAAAAGACATCTCAGTAGCCCTGATGTGGTATTATTGTCAGAAGAAAAGCTGGCAAGAATCTTTGGACAATAGGCAAGATTTTCAAAAGGCTTGAGTTTTGCATCTGCAGGAGTGTTTTGTACCTGCTGAATTTTGCACCTTCATTTTAAAGGCAGATGCAAGATACATCCCTGTTCATGCTGCAAGCAGGTAAGACCAGCCTTCTGAATAACCCTGGCTCTTAGAGAATTTAGCTCAGCAGGAGACTTCTGCAGGGCGGGTTCACATTTCTGCAAGCAAGGATGTTTTTTTCCTGATGCGTAGATCCACCTAGAAATGTCACCTCCGTGACCCTATCTTCTATACTCTACCTGGTTGGACTTTAGAAGACCCTCAAAAATTGGGTGACAACTTATTTTTATTTGCACACCAGATGGCTTGACAAAAATGAGGATGACGGTCAGATTGTTCGAGAATTGGTGCCCGCTACGTTCTCACCGCTGCTGAAAAGTGAGTTTGATCTGGGATGGAGAAGACTTTGGGGTGGGCTGTTTACTAATTTTTAAATCAACAGGAAATCTGAAGGTTTTTTGCCAGTAGTATCTAGCAGCGTGCACAGGGCCAGCGTGGACAAAAATTCTCTGACCCTTAGATCCTTGCTTATGAATGGGATTAATTCTCATACAAGAACATATTGTATTTGCTCCATATCACCTTTTCACCCCAAATCAGCTCTCCAGAATTGGGATGTATGTCTTAAATGGGGAAGCTGATTTTTCTTCTCTAGAAAAGAAGCGTGGAAAAATAGAAGCTTACTGGTGCTGTGCTATCATGGGAGCCAAAAGGGCTGCTGCTTCTGTCTGGGTGACCAAGAAGCAGGGGCAGCGTTCAGTGTTAATCCTTCCACGGCGGCTGCTTGATGACCTTTTTATGGCTACTATAAGACATTCCCAGTCTGTGTATATATCTGCTATGGTTTTCACTTCTTCTCCAGCTGTTGATTCCATCTCATAAGCTTATCAGTTCCTTCTATGGTGCTCCTCTTCCAGTCTTCCTGTCTTCCTCTGTTAACATTTCCCAGGCTCTCTTACCTACAACTTACACTCTGCTTGAGCTGATAATCAGACAAAATGATTCATGATGAGCTTTGGAAGTGCATCGTCCTTCTATATTGTGTACATTGATACTTCTTTAGATGTCAACTACCACATCAGTGTGAAGACAGGAGATGTCCCTGGTGCCAGCTCAGATTCTAAAGTTTTCATCAAGCTCTACGGTGAAAAGGCAGACACTAGCAAGGAGTTTCTGTTAGTTTCTGATAATGACCTAGGCAATTACTTTGAACGTGGACGAGTGGACGAATTTACTGTAGAAACAATGGATATCGGCAAGGTAAGAATGAATCTGATGGGGACTGAGTTCATACTTGTCCTGGTACTAGGAGAGTTGCTGTACTACACGAACATCTGACCATTGGATGGGACATTAAGAATCCTGTTCATCAATGGGGAGCCACTGTTCCAATCCAGGGATACCTGATTGCATATCCAAGTTGATGTTTCCACATACAGGGTGGCTTTTTTGCCTGCCTAACTGTCTATATGCATGTTTAAGTGCACATTTTATGTTCAGAACCGGGTGCGCACAGTTTAATTCGCATGTTCGTTATAGACTGCCAGGGAAATAGATATTTGTGTTATTAAGTAGACATTGTCTTTTTTTCCCCCTTCCAAGATCAACAGAATTCTTATTGGACATGATAACGTAGGTCTCCGATCTGGTTGGTTCCTGTCTAGTGTTCAGATCACAGTTCCTGTCCAAGGGAGGCAATACATGTTTCCTTGCAACCGATGGCTTGACAAAGATGAGGCGGATGGGAAAGTAGAGGTGGAGGTCTACCCAAGTGAAATCCTGCCCATTGAGAAATGTGAGGGCAAGAATATTCTTTAGTATTATTGCTTCTGTCATTGTTTTTTCTGCTACTGTAATTCTTTGGGATCGTTCTTTTGGATAAGGAGCTTCCATTTCTAAGGTCCTAATTTAGCAACCCTCTGGCTGAGCTTTGGGAATTCATTTGATCTGACAGTTCAGCGGCCAGAGTGAGAATATTTTTCTCTTACGCTACCAGAGCAGAACAGGTTACTGTTACTTTTTAAGAGTAAAAGAAAACTCCATCTCTAGTACATGATTCCTTTTCCTACCTTCTCCACCAAACTATTCCCTTTATTAGAAATTGTTAGAAAACTCCAAGGAAATGTTTTTCCCCATCAGAGTTTGCTGATTCACTGAAATAGCCATCTGGAGATGGGCTGATTTTTTACATAGTTCTGACAAAACTCTTCTGCTTGGCAGGTGTCAGCCTGCTTTCCTGCCAGCAATCTTGCCTGGCTTCTGGGTGGCCTGACCGACAGTATGTCCCAACATGAGGGACCCTGTGGCTCCGAGGATGCCTAGTTGTAAAGCTGCCCATAAGGCTGATTACCCGTGGGGTGGGGATCCTCTGGACAACCTTGGAACCAGAAGTCTATTCCCTTCGGTGGAGAAATAAGAAACTTTTTGGTTTTGTTGCAAATCGGAACAAAGATGAGTTTGAAATACTGAAGCATTTTGTGAGATGGGATTACATTTCATCACATAGCACGGCCCTTCATTCAGGGCGAATGCATGCACAGTCATTTTCCAGATGGCGTAACTAGGGAACAGAGCTTCTGAGTGACTTGCCATGTGTTATATGGGAAATTGGGAGACTTGTGTCAGCGGTTGCACCATTCAGGTTGTTTCAGATCCATGGCCTGAGTTTGGATAACTATAAAATTGGACTAATAATAATGCTTAGCGAGCCAAAGACATTAAAATGCTAAGTAAGTGCAAAGCTGTATTTAATTTGAAGAGACACCGGGGGACAGATCCTAGTCTATCTATTAGGTATCTAAATGTTTCTCAGGGACTTGCGCAGGGTGAGCAGAATTACACTTAGGTGTCTAATTGATGGGACAGGGCATTTTTAGACCGTTACCAAATCAAAATGTAACAGAGACATTATTGAGGGAAAGCCTGGTCAGCTGTGATTGTCACTGGCTGGGATCCTATCCATGGGACTGAGTTAAAGGTGCTATAATGAAATATGCATTTCCTTAGACTTAGTAAGTTATTTTGTTTGTATTGAAGTCAATGACTCTCTTTTCTTTTCCAAGTAGTTTCATTTACTTCTCTGCTATTAAGATCAGCCCAGAAATAAGCAAAGTAGCACTGTATATTAATTATTGATGGTGTGTTTTCTTTTGGAATAGTGGTAAACTATGAAGTAACTGTAGTCACGGGGAGCATGCGGTCAGCAGGCACCAACGCCAATGTTTTCATGCAGATGTATGGCGAGGCTGGTAAAACCGAGTTGATCACCTTGTCAAACAGATCAAACAACTTTGAGAGGGGAGCGAAGGAGATTTTTAAGGTATGTTGAGGGCTGCTCTTGCTGCTTATCTGAAGGAGAGGGAATGACCAAGGGAAATAAGGTGCTTTCATG